CCCTGAGGGACACCACTGCTACAGTGGTGCCTCTCAGAGAAGCTGCGCCGCACTCTGATGGTCATATGTCTGTCGTACAAATACGAGTTCAGCCATTCAAGGAGTCTTCCCGTAACACCGAGGTGATGAAGCTTGGCAAGTAAACTCTGATGAGATACTTTATCGAAAGCCTTGGATAGGTCAACGAAAACAATATCCACAGATTTCCCGCTATTCAGTGCTAGAATCCAATCATGCATGCTATCCAACAAATTAGACAGCGTCGAGGACCCGCTCAAAAAACCATGTTGTTCTTTCGGTATCACTTGAAACCTTTCCAACCAAGCTATCATCTTATCCCTGATAATCTTCTCCATCACTTTTGCCGGTGTAGGTGTTATGCTCACTGGACGAAAGTCAGAAACACATTGACTATTCGAGACTTTAGGGATAGCGGAGACTAACGCCTCTTTCCATAAGTTCGGGACTTCACCTAAGAGCAGCACCTAGAGATGTTGAAAATGTGTGTTAATGGCTGATACAGTGAGGATGCACACTTTTTATATACAATCTGAGGAGATCCATCATAAGTTTCTGAAAGGGAAGGATCCAAGCCCTCGAGGGACTTGCGCACGTCGTCAGGATGGAAGAAGACATTAGAGAGGGCGCTACCTATCCGAGGCATTCCTTGTATATTCACTGCGTCTGTATTCCCACTGGTACCCGAAAAAACGCTGGCAAAAAATCTCCCTAATCCTATAGCTTTTTGTGAATCCGACACTAAGGCAGAGCCGTTCTCATCGGATAGAGTAGGCAAAGACGGATTGTTTTTGAATTTCTTCCTGAAGTAGTGGAATAACTGCTTGACATTAGCTCTCAGAAAAAGGCGCCTTTCACAGTTTCTCTCCCAACTCCTAATGTGTTGATCAAGATCCGAGCAAACTTTTCTATATCGATTGTCACTGAGGGGATGGGAAATAGAGCGGAAAAGTCTTTCCTTCTGAGCCATTAGATTTTTGATATGCAAGGGATATACTGATTGATGAGTTCGAGTAGATAAGAAAACGCTACGCTAAACATATGATGAACAAGTAATTACTAGTGAAGTGTTGCTGAACCCTAACGATTCACAACTGATTTGATAGGAAAAGTCATGGCATTCAGATCATTGAGTAGACTGCTGGGAAACGCTGGTGTTTCGCTAGTATACGGTCAAATAGAGTTTTATCAAATTTCTGGTTAGTTTATTCATATCTACTCAACTCGTCACTCCTCAAACTTTCATACGAATTCACTAACGACAACGTTTCAATTATTCGGAAATAAATCGAAACCGAGAATCGTTGGCTAAACGACTTTTTTTGCTATACTCTGCTTATTTACGAGCTGCTTGATGACAAAAACAACCTTTACTCAAATCTCGACATCCACAATCACAATCACAATGTTAGCATATCGAAATGAACTCCCGTGTTCCTTACGTGCCACTCCCTGTTATATTAGCTCCATAGATAGTCAATATCTAGCATAAACGTTTTGTAAGTCAAGAGCCCATTTCATGGGAAAGCAAAGGAGCGCGCTTTAAAGACAGGAACTCCATGTCATGCCTACAGGTCCAGGGCCCTACCTGCCGCGCAACTGTTGCACAGTGGCGTTCTTGCTCGATTTGGTTATCTTTTCGATACATTGGTATATCATAGGAGCCCTTTTTGTCACTAATGATTTATTGCTTTATGCACTACAGATTTGTTGCTTTATGATACACCAGTCGGATCGCCCAGCTAACGCCGGGCTCTCCTCCTTCTTATGTAATAGGAACAAAGACTGGCACAAACAATCTGAGATTTCCTTTCGATAAATATAAAATGAAAAATTTCATTCTAATAATGGTTAACACTATTTATGACTAAGAATCTTTGTGACGTGAGCTCATACATTACAAAAAGTTTGACCCACTCGAAAGTGTAAGACTTTCAGAGACGGTCGAAATTGCTTCACATGCGCGGAGCGATAAATTTCCTTACCTTACCTTACCAACGAAAATAGCAGAAGTATAATGGCAATAGGTCCATAGTAATCATGCGACGCGTATTTCTTTGAAACTTCCGTTTCCGAAAAGTTATAATTCTCATTATTTATACCCTCCCAATCAGGCCCAAATTTAGCAAGTAATGGTCAGAGGAGACGACTAATCAGTGACTGGCTTCGGTATCATGAGAGGAGAACATAAATTGATTCATTCTTTACTAAGCGGTTACTAAAATAAGCATAGAGGTTATCTTGTTTTCTTTTCATTCAGATGTCAGTTGCAACAAAACTAATTCAACCACCAAAATATGGAAATCAGCAAGATGACTTTTGATAGTGGTGCTATCAGCAGTCGAGAACAATATTTAGCACCACTCAAAATTTCTTTCAGGTTTTGTTGGTCCAGGTTGGTCAGTCATAGAGAAGGCGCTTCGGAGCTAACAAAGAAAAGAGGTCAACCATTAACGGTGTTAAGATCCTGAGATCCCTAGTTAATCACACTTATCTTTACAGAAATGCTGAAGGGGAAAGGGCAATTCTAAAGAAGGGGTGCTCAATAGAAACCGAACCAATGGAACTAAATATGTTATGTCCCTTACGCTGCGGTATATAAATTCAAAAGAGAATGACGGTTCAGCCGATCGCTTCCTCTTTGCCTTAAGAGTGAGGGGAATGTCACTGCGGGTTATTAGACTGAAAGACTGGATTGAGAAGGGTAGAGAATGAAGAAGGAGAAATGATTTAGGTAGCCAAATTTGAAATTCTGTATAGATAAACATGTACTCCATCAGCATGAATCGAAGTCACATTGTCGGAATACTGGCTTTACTTAAGACTCACTAAATTCCGCAAAACTCGCTCCACTCCATTAACCTACCCGCCCATTTACTGCTTAGCTTAGAGATATGTATAACTCAGCTCAAGTCGGGCCTCATTCCTTACTTTCACAAAGTGGTTAGAAAATCTTGAAGGGGGAAGGGGGGGGGGGGGGGGGGGGGGGGGGAGCTTCGCTTTTATGCGACAGTGAAGATTCAGGTAAACGAAGGTGTCTCACCTTGCCTTGGCTCAGACGGTTAAGGCGAAAGAATATAGATTTCACCTGAGAGTAAGAAGGGAATGAGCGACGGGGAGGAGGTAAGCTAGGATGGGGTATGATTTGAACTGCTTTCTATCTGAAGCTAGGTCAAAATACAATATATTCCCGGCCTAGAAACTTTACTAAGCACAATTATGGATTTATTTCCTTATCTGCGCTCCAGCGCTCAATCACCTCAGATTTTTGTAAAGACATACATAGCACGATGCCAGTTCAGTTCGACATCACATTTTTCAAGTAACCACTCCACTCCACATCACTCACTTCACTACACAGTACTCACTCTTCTCCATTAACCCACCCACCGAGTTACTGCCTTATGTATAAGAAGGGAATGTGAGAGGTAGGCTTTCCATATCACTGCCTTTATCGTAATCACAAAGTTTGCGGACGGACACACCGACAGACATACCGACAAACCGACACACCAAGTTTCTGCTTTATAATAAGAGAGATGAGCAATGGCAAAACAGTCTTTTACCGAGTAGTTCATATATAGGCAATCGGGAAAAGTTTTTTCGTAATTACTGCGCAGACGAGTATATAAATGAGCTTCAACATCTTTTTGTATCACTTTTCGGCGATGGTGAAAAACCTACGGACTTGATAGTCAGAACCTAATTTCCAACAGATGTTAATTATTTAGACACAACTACCAACAAAGGAAGTGTAATTCACAAATTTTCGATGAGATTTTATTCTATTGAGCTTTGCTATGAGACCAATCATGTTGGGTACTAAATTCAGCTCAGCAGCAATTCAGCAAGAGCTACATTCCACCTGAATTATCAGTTTCAGAAACGACTGCTTTCACTGATGGAAAACCAGCAATACGTGAGTTTACATCATTTTACAACATGTTCACACATGGTCCTTCTCGATGTTGGTGTGCAAAAAGACACGAACCAGCGGTACTTCGTGATTTTTCGAGTAATTGGAGTGAGTTTTGTACAATGTTTGATGGGACTGATCAAATGGCAATGGCTTACAACGGTAGAAAAGTTTGTTGTATTTTTTCATCTACTCAACGATGCATATTATCCTATAGTTGAGTAACTTCGAGTTATGATTTTGAAGGCTTCTTATTAGAATCTAGTCACGTTTTCAGAGTGAAGAGCCACCTAGATGGGATGTTGCCATGACGTTTCGAGCATATGCTTGCACCTATATGATTGTGCTCGCCATGTATCTTAATACTCTTCTTGTCAGTTGGTTTAATTCGTTGGAGGTATAAATGATAACGGGAACCTAATTTTAGATGGCTGCCCTGAATTACACACTGCCGCTTAGCGGATCTAGCAGGAGGCGCTTCTATGAAACAGTGCTGCCCACAATTTTTGGTAAAAAGGAGGTCAAGCTATAGTTTATCTCGCGCAATTGTAGTTAGATGAACAGCAATAGCTATTCCAGTCGAAACATGCTCTCTCTAGAATGGATACGACGTCCGAGGATATGGATACTTTCATGAAGTACGACGAACAAAAGACACAGGATCAGGATGTAAGCTTTTCCTTCCTTATTTCTTTATCAGATTCCTATTTTGAGTATCATTCTACTTTAGGATTTTGGAAGCGAGGAAACTGATACTGTACGTTTTCACTCCATTTTCTTCCTCGAAACACAAGTTCAAAAAACCTCGTAAAAAGTTGCCACACCACAATAGCTTTGACGTAATTTTTCTTTATATTGTATAACTGCTGACAGACGATGGAGGGATTACGTTATCTGATGCCACTCCTGTGAATTTGTCAACCTAGGTGGCGGGATCGCTGCACGACCTCTTAATACTCGTTTCGCTTACATGGTAACACCGAAGTATAACAGAGGAGGTGAACGGTCCCGCAACTTCGTCTCCAAAATCGTTTAGCTTATTTGGGGGAAGGGAAGATGGAGTGGATTAGAGATTAGCGTTGGAAACACTTGTAGCGGTAGGCATCTCATCTTGAATGGCATCTGTTGCCTAATGTTCTTCCCTCGTAAGCACTGCTACATGTTGAGCTGACAATGAGTAGAGCTGTGGCTCCCCTTGCGTTCAGCTTCATGGTATGAGTTTCAAACAACCTTCCTTCCGTTACTCAATGAGCAGCATTACCGGCCTTCTATCTTGCACATGCCGAGCGTTATCTCATTCACTTTAATGTGGCAGTCTCCAAGAACAAGAGCGAAGGGAGAAAAAAATGCCGAAATGGTCTGTTCAAGACGGGCTCAACAACGGGTTCAATGAGCTGGCAGTTCTGAACACTCTGAGTTATGCATCGCAGTTATGTGTTACAACATGCCCAGTTTTCAAATTTTCCCTACTGTTCAGTATGCCGAAAGAATCCTAACTTACTAAAATTGCTTTCAGAAGAACGAGAGGATTCCCGGACGCGTCAGGAAGTGAGTGTCCAAGAATTCTTTTTCAATGATTCTTAAATTTTACAATACTGCTTTTTTGTTTCAGTCATTATATCATCAACCTATTTTCCTTCTAGTGATAGAACCCTAAGATCGGCTCGCATGTCAATTCGTCTACCAAGAGCTCCTAAAGGTCACCACGTTGAGGAGCTCGACCAAATGGTTGGCAACTGCTTTATAAAGTTTTTTGAGTTCCGATTCGAATCTGCCTATTGCAGGAGAAATTCCTCGCCGAAGACGACGTGAGCGTTGCTGAGAAATAGACAGCCACCGCTTTCCTACCGGAAGCATTCTTAGTTAACCGTGTTGCTGATGCACTGATTGTTTGCCTTGATTGAAAAATCGTGTTTTTTTTTTCAGGGAGCGTAGTTCTTCCACGAATGTATGTAGCTTCAACGCGCCATATGCTTCATGACTTGAATGAATATTACTCTGCTGCTAGATTTCACTCCAAGAACCACTGACAGGGACTGCTACCATAAAAGCAAAACCCCTTTTTCCAGCATTAGTCATTCACAGAGAAACCGATAAAAGTGAAGGATTGAAAGCGTTAGTGTAAGCAATCATACCAATCAGGATCTGATGGTAAGCACTGGAAACACAACGAGCATTTTTTTCGTAATGATTGGAAGCATTCCTAGCAGTGTACTATTCAATTGGTAGGAGAGGACTATTGTTATATGCTTTCTTTTTCTTAGCATTACTTTCATGCAGTCACGAGCTCCACTATTCTTATTGCCACTTTTTCCTATCCAAGGCATTTTCCTTGGAGATCTGCTTTCGGTGAGGTCCATCCCGTACCATTCCTATTTTCACGCCTCTAATTGTAAGCTCGTCTTGGTCGCTTGCCCTCATTCTCACGGCTTAGTGCTCCCCTTTACCCTATGGCTGTCTCAGCACGTTCCCATAGCATCGCGGTCGCCGCTCTACCATCTACAGTACAATACAAAGGTCAGAAGCTGTGTGCAAATCTAGCTTCAATACCGAAATACCTGCACTTCTCAACTTTCTCTGAAACTATTTATTGTGAGCAGGATGAGTAAGAATCACCTGAAAATTTTATCGTCATACATAGGAATCCTCTATATATAAAGCACTAACTTTGTGTGTCTTCGTGTTTGTGTTTGTATGTGGGTTTGTGCGTCTGTCCGCGAAAAGTCACGTAGGCGCGATGAGGGATTGTGAAATGTTACATGGGTGCATGCTAACATGGGTAAAGAGCAGCGTTATGAAGTAGGAAGTCGACTCATACTGTATCTGCTGATCTGAGTGAACAATGCGGATCACTTGGTGATGGGTTACACTCACGCTAGCGTGCGTAACCCGACTGGTGAAATGAAATACAGGTTAATCTTATAGCAACAAACTTCATTAGATAATCTGATCGTCACTATTGTATCTTGTTAGCGTAAAGTGCAAATTGTATGTCCCATTTAAGAGCAATATTTCGTACTCTGATGGGAAGGGTGAAGTCATTTTCTCAATTCCATTTAGGTATGATCCGAATGGGAACAGTTGCTAGGCCTTGGGAGTCATGTCCGGAGAGTAAGCAAGGCAAGGCGTCAAGGCATAGAAATGCCGAAATTTTTAACTCGTTTTATTTTCTATCTTAACTCGAATTGTCACACTTTGTGAATATGGGGCTTCCCGCTGTAGCGTAGAAACTATATTTTGTCTTGCCTGGCCTTGAATTGTTTGCTACACGAATGTTGACATATTATTCGGGTGTGACTGCAGTAAATTCAGGTAGGTTCTCAATGATTAACTTCAAAACGTCTCCACAACACATTAAATTTTTGGATGAGGTTCCGTGGTTGATACCGATTCTACTTGTTCACCAGATCGAGCCATTAGCGCTTCCACTTACAATTCACACCACTTCTCGTTCTGAAGTCACCCACTTCTGCGTTTGGCCGAGCTTCCGTTTGCGGATCAGCGAATTCGTATATGCACTGGTTTTTCCTTCAACTTTTCTGACTCATTGTATCTACCAGCCATACCTTTTGTGTCTGTCTCATTTCAAGCATTATTTTAAGGGAGCACCAGTACATACAATATTTTGCAGTATCACGAGTGGTGCGGAAAGAAATGCGGCTTTGTTAGCGGCTTTCAATACGACTAAATCAATAATATAAACTTCTTGAACAGACGTACTCTGCAGGAAAAAGCTAGTTGTGACAGCCCTATGGGAGCATTCATTGCAATGCTTATGGCAGCGGAACATTCTCATCGAAGCTCTTGGTGATAATGTATTATAGTTGAAAGTCAGGTGGTTCGAGATTCATCATCAATGGCGATACAAGTGAACTCGTACATGCGATAAGTAATATAAAATCCTTTTTTGAATTTATTCATAAGAATCTTCGAGAAAACCCCAGCAAAATATAGGGAAAAAGAATTCCCGAGAATTTATAATCTACTTACGCAATGTTTCCTCATTTGGTATTGAGAGCAACCTGCTTGAGTTTCCAGCTCGCTATGACTTTCAAATACAATCAGTAATGATCAGCAAGCGGAAAAACTGCTGAGGAGTCGTAGATTATTGCCGAACTCATTTGTGCGAGAGCCCATTGAGTCCCTCAACTTGTGTGAAAAGTCCATTTTACGATTAAGACGGTTTCTGAAATTTCTCCCTGAGATGAAAGATTGACCCCAAGCAAGCAAAACGGATACTGTCGGGTCTCAAAACAATTTAAAAAGAGTGCGATAACGGAATCGGCTCAGCCGACAACACCTTCGAAGGCTAACGAGTTTTCGGGGCGTTATTGCACCCTACTAAACAACCTTAGTGACGTGCAAGCTATTATAGCTACATTAGAGAAACAAAGGGAGGAGGTAAACACCACCAACCTGAGAATCATGGTCCTAGGAACGTTTACAAAAATATTCAAGAGGAAACGGCTAGGAAAGAGTTTACAAAAAATAATCAAGAGGAAATGGCTAGGAAAAAGTTTGATTCAGGAACGCTATGAAGCATGAAAAACTTCCTGGATAACTTGTCAACAGCAATTATACAGAAAGAACACGTTGAGGGTATAAAAGACCCTTACCAAGGTGAGCACTCAATTTTTTACGCAAGCGCAACCGCACCGCCGAGATTGCAGTGCACAGGCTGTGGCTAACAACACAAGTTCAGGCACTGCAACAGGTACTCTAACGTTGTGCAAAAGATAGAGCGTCTCCGCGAAGTTAATGCATGTTGGAAGTTTTAGCTCAAAACATCGCACAACATCCGGCCTCAACAGAACAGTTTTTACTGCTGCGGTCCTCACAATTACGCGATCTGCCGTCAACCTCAAAAACGTGCTAACGAAGGACAACCTAAAATGAACCTACGGAGTCATATCCCTCGCTATCAGCGTCAAATGAATGGCAAGATACCTTACGAAACACTGAGGATAAGTTTCGTCGGAAAATATCCCAAGAGTAAAGTTATTCACCCAATAGACCAGTTCCAAGGAATAAACATGTCAATCCAGATCGAATTAAGCGGTCACCGCAACGGTTATCACCAAAACCAATAACAACACAACCATAAGATCGAAGCATGACTAGACATTCGCCTTCTAACTCGAAAATCCGATTCCAAAAATCCGATTCCAAAAATCCGAAGTCCGATCCAATCAATCACCACCACCTAGGAGAAGGTCCCCAGAAACCGTCATAGTGAATTTTCATGTTCAAGATATTCAAGAATCAGAACCCCTTCCTGACGAGTTCACAACCGCTTTGCCGAGCAATGACAGCGCACGTCTGATGATCGTCCCCGTCTACTTACAATCATTCGACGATCAAGGAAAAATAGTCGTCGTAGCGCTTCTAGACTCTGCCTCATTTTCAGACCAATCCTTCATATCAACATCACTAGCTCGAAGGATGAACTTTGACACTCACAGTGAGTCAACTATTGTAGTCAACACATTTGGAGGGATAACGGAAAAAAGAAAATAGAAGAGAGTTATCAGTCGTGTATATAATAATCACTCGTTTATATAATACCGAAGGGGATAGCAAGTTGAATTGTTAACAAGTGATCAACTAACACCCCCTCTTCAAGTGGGTCCCATACCTCATCAGGACGAAGTCTTTATTAGAGAACATTTCCCAAACGACGGAGCTCAACCTATTCTGCACGGAGTCAACGGCACAGTTGCCCCTGAAATACTTCGATACTACTCGGACTACTTCAACACAATTATGGAGCTTGATAAACCTGTGATTCAACTTTCTTCCGGACGTTTGGACCAAGACTCTCAGAAGTAGCACATGATGATCGCGAACAATCTGATAATGAAATTGGTAGACGGGGTATGCACACATGAACAGGGTTCAACTCAAGTCAAAACGAGATGGATATTTCTGAGCTGTGAAACTCAACGCAATCGGTATAGAAGATAGGAGTTCACAAGAGGACATCATTACCAAAATAGTAGCAGAGTTTTACTCCACGGTAAAAATCAAAGACAACAAAATATTCGTGCGTTTCCCTTGGGAATCAAATAACAACCGTCGCGCAAGTAACTAATAACTTGCCCTGAGCAGGTTCCATCAGCTATTCAAAATGAAGGAATGTAAATCCTCAATGCTGGGAGGAATACTGCGGCATAATTGAACTCCAACTCCAAAACAGTCTTATTGAAGATTCACCGCGTTTTCCAACAAATGGCTCAACCACGTATTACTATATAGCCCATCAAGCGGCTGTCATATTAGCAGTTGTAGCTGGATAGTGCAGCAACAAAAACTCATATCGTTCTGGACGCACCGGCAAAAATGAAAGGAGAATTGAGCCTCAACGACGTTATCCATCAATGGCCTCTTATACTACCTAATCTATGAGGAATATTTCTAAGATCCAGAATAGGGTCTAAGGTGTAGATTGTGGATGTCGAGGAAGCATTCCACATGATACATCTAAAAGAAACGTATAGAGACGTCGTTCGATTTTTATGGCTCAAAAACGTAGATGAACCACCATCACCTCAAAACCTCAGAACATTACGCTTCTGTCGAGTTCCATTCGGAATAGATGCATCTCCATTCCTGTAAGGCATATCCATTAAATAGGTATCGAACAACAACCAATTCTCGATAAAGAGTTTCAGAAACAACTCAGCGATAACCTCTACGTGAACAGCGTTTTCCTTACAGGCGATTACACTCGATCACTCATCAATAAATATCGAATGTCCGAAAGCTATTCGATGACATGTCTATGAATCTATGTCAATTCGTTTCAAATGATGACATTTGCAATGAAACA